ATTGCTGCTAAATGGTTATCTGAGGTAAATAGTAAATTACCCGGATAACCTGGTTAATTTAATAATACCCGGATAAAGATTTTCTCAATATATTTTAACCAATCAGATAATTTAGTAAACTCATCGAGAGGCGCTTGAGAACGGCCTAGATCAAATTAACAGAGCTTGTAAAACAAAATTGAATTTATATAACGAGGAAAAACGTAAATTTCATGATAAATGACTTATAATTATTCAATAATCATAAAAAAAAGTCGCTCATATGTAGAAATTCCTAGGAAATAGGCTTGCACTATGGAAACTTCAAATTTACGATTTATGTAATTTCGAAGTCGCCTAATCGACCAACTGAGCCGAAAAATCGATTAAGCCAATTTTTTTTATTATCAGTCAAGATCGCTATCTGTACTGTAGACATTTGCCCAGCCTACCAGCTAAATTTTTAATCGGAATTAAAAAAATTGAGTTTTTTCTTAAGAAACATGTAAATGTTTTTAAATAGTAATTCTATTCATACTTTAGTTGTTATAACCTTTATTAAAAACACATCATGAGCCTTGGTCTATATGTAATACAATAAACTAAATAAAAGAATCTAAGAAAGAAAAAAAATAAATAAGATATAAATGAGTATATTGGTTGGTTATCTGGATCACGCGAGGACGCCGATTCCAAAAGTTTAGAGTAGAAGAAAGGAACCAATGCATTATGTGACACTGGTTTGATTTACATTGACCAGCTGGGTCACCGAGAGACCTCAAGGTTCCTCTTGAGTACTCAATAATCGCCCATATTATTTTTGCGGTTAAAAAATTAGAAAAACTAAAAAAATTTTCAGCCAAAAAATTAGAACTTTAAAAATTATGTTCACGCTGTAGACTAAGTCGACTAAGCCGATAAATTTGGTTGTCGAAAAATTCTGATCACCAGGGTCACCACTGATGATACAATGTCCTATTAATTCCTTCGGGCTTTGAAGTCTATAATTATTGGACTTAATCCTGAACAAATCTGACTAGCACGTAATTAAATTTAATTACGTGCTTGTCAAATTTGTTCAGGGGGTTGAGTCCGATAAATTATATTCGTGCATTTAAATTTTTATTCCGGAATATAGCTAGTTCTGTTTTTTTATCGTTATTGTTTTTATAATATATTCTACGGGTGAAAGTAAGAGAAAACCTGTAAATGAATCTTTAAAGTTATCACTGTAGCAGACTATCGGATGATACTGTGAGACGTGAAAGTTACTCCGGAGACACGTGAGGGTCGGAGGCTAATGTGCCGCAGTATCTGCATACGGGTATGCAGATCTCTTGCCTTTATTGGGTTTCCCGGGGATAAAAGAGTTAAAAGTCTTATAAGTATTAAAAGAGTTATAAGAGTTTTAATACATATAAGAGATAAAAGAGGGAAAAGACTTAAAAGAGATAAAAGAGTTTTAAGGATTATAAGATGTTTAATAGTTAAAATACGTTTAAGTATTAAAAGAGTTATGCGAAACATAGTAATGTAAATGTATATAATAAGAGCGGGTTTGCTCGTAATAAAAGATAAGCTCTTGATAGTTTGCTTATAAATACTTGAGCTCTTTATTAAATAAATCCTACTACCTAACTCATACTTTCCTTAAATATCTTACCTCCGATACTCTACTAAGTGGCATAGTAGAGTTATCTTCACGAAACTCATCGATTAATCCATGATTACCGTACCCCCCCCCGAAGTGATAATTGACCCGTACCTTAGTAGTAGGAAAGGCGACCTAAGCTTTAGAACTTCCACCTGCCAAATCTAATCACCTCTTTCAATATGGTCGTCCAGCTGCTGATTAAAAAATAGATCAGTTTGGTCCCGGTGACCAAACCCCCTTGTTTCATTTGGTGGTGACTGTGAGATAAACTATACATAACACTGTGAGATGCCATAACGTTGATGATGACTAGATTCTGAGTTAAGAATGCCAACTTAAGGGATCTATAAGTCATGTAACATAGCCTGGTACTGGCAAGTTTAATAAGTATTGCGCAAAAGGAGAAGAGACAGCTAAAGACAATGAAGTAGTCATACGATTATAAAGACTGGAGTGATAAACTGTGGCCTCTGATTCCAACTGGCTCAATATACTGTGGTTGGTTGTAGTTATTAATTGAGTTCTAGTTATCTAACATACTGTGGTAATTGTGGATTCAAGCTTAGAATTTCTGACATACAGTGGTATCCAAGTCAAAGAAATTAAGAACTTACAGTTTAATTTCAATATAATTTATGCGTGGTATGCATAAATTAAGAGGAAGAGAAATGTGAGATGTAAAAGTTACTCTGAAGATACATGAGAATCAGAGGCTAATGTGTTGCAGTATCTGCATACAGATATACAGATCTCTTGCCTTTATTGGGTTTCCTGGAGATAAAAAAGTTAAAAGTCTTATAAGTATTAAAAGAGTTATAAGGGTTTTAATACATAAAAGAGAGAAAAGACTTAAAAGAGATTAAAGAGTTTTAAGTATTATAATATGTTTAATATTTAAAATATGTTTAAGTATTAAAAGAGTTATATGAAATATAGTAATGTAAATATATATAATAAAAGCAGGCTCGCTTATAATAAAAGATAACTCTTGATAGTTTGCTTATAAATACTTGAGCTCTTTATTAAATAAATCCTACTATCTAACTCATACTTTTCTTAAATATTTTATCTCTGATACTCTACTAAGTAGCATAGTAGAGTTATCTTCACAAAACTCATCTATTAATCTATAATTACTATATCCTCTTCTGAAGTGATAATTGATCTATACTTTAGTAGTAGAAAAGGTAACCTAAGCTTTAAAACTTCTACTTGCTAAATCTAATTGTCTCTTTTAATATAGTTGTTCAGCTACTGATTAAAAAAATAGATCAGTTTGGTCCTGATAACCAAACTCTCTTGTTTCAATACTATATAGATGATAAGACTACTACACTGATAACTTAAATATTTATTTACAGATTTTTTCTTACTATCACCTAATCACTACTTTGGACTTCTGTTTCTAAACAAAAAGTTTAAAATTATATTTTAATAAATCTATTAAAAATTTAATTATATATGAAGTTGCTATTAAAGTTTTTAGAAAGTATATGATAAATTTTATTTTTTTTAAAAAAAAGCATTTTTTTAACTGATTTACAATATTTATTAGCGTACAATATACAAATAATGACTTTAAAATATTTCTTTCTTTTATAAATAAAAAAAATTGTTTATTTGCATTATTCATTATTATTTTTTAACTATTTCTTATTGTAAATCATATAATAAACATCTAACTTATTGTTATAAGCAATATATAGTCAAAAAAACAAGATAGCTACACAGTATATAATACTACACAGAACCAGTATGATATGAGAAGTGAAATAGAATCTAGAGTCTAAAGTAGATTAGAATAATAGTCTCACTAACTAATATTCACAACTTACTACTAAACTAACTATAACTCTAATAATAAAAGGCAGAAAAAGATCATAAAAGATTTGATTTAGGTTTATCAGAATTAAGGTCAGTTTATTTATATTCAGAGAAAGGAGTAATTATAGATTAATAAATATGATATTAGAAATTATTATGCAAAAGATTTTGTTCTCAAATTTGAGATTTGTTTTTATTGAACTCTTTTATGAGCTAAGTTCTCCTCTTATTGAAGGAAAATTGCAGTGCTTATATACCTTACAAAACTATAGTAAATACATTTAGGACTTAATTGATATTGTTGAAATATTAATTAAATTAGATTTTCTTCAAATAGTAATTTTAATTACTATTTGTCTAATATTGATTTAATTTAATAAATTAGATAAATCCAATATTTCAACATATTAATTTTACTAAATACAAGTAAGGATTAATACTAGTCTATAGTAAGGCTTCTAATTATATATATTTGTACTATAAATATATTTAACAAGAATTCTACAAGTCAAAAATAAGACATTGTACTATGTCAGAGTGTAATATTTCCAGTAGGTCAAATTAGCTCTTTACAATAATCAGCACTTAAGAAATATATTGTGAGCTCTGAATTTTGAATCTAAACCAGGCTAGAAGTAAGGCTTACTATTTTCTGCTATAACAGACTTCAAATTCTGCCTGTTTTACAAATAGATTTATGTAAATTATATGATAAATTTTTTAGAATTATGCTACAAATTATGTGAATTAGATATAAATATGGGTAAAATATGTGAACTTAATATGCGAGTAAAAATTTTGAAATATAAATAGAATAAATTCTAATAAACATCAATTTTTATTACTATTTTAACAAATAGCTGATTCTTATAATTTTTCGAATAATAATTATCAAAAAAAAAAGAAATATGTAAAAATAATAAAATAAAAAAATAAAAAAAAATCTATCACTATTTAATTCTAAAAAATATAATATATTTGATTATATTTTTTGCTTTATATTAATATTTTTTCGTATTCATAACCAAAACCACTAATAATTAAAACAAATATATAAAAATATTTGCTATAGAGCTATAAAAGCTAAATAAAAAGCTACAAAACAATAATTTTATAAATAAATAAAGTTTATACTTACAAAATATAATACTGTTTTTACTTGTCTATTATTGAATTATTCTTCTATATAGTTATTGAAATACATAAAATTCAATACTACAATAGATGTTTCAGAAAGTAAATATCAATTATCATCAAGAATATTTTTATATATAGAAAAGCTTCATTCTACATCTATACCAGATACTAGGAGCCAAATATAATCTAAGGCTAGTTTTGATAAATTGAGTAAGCTTCAGGTTTTTTCTTTCTAATTAATATCTAAATTCAAATTTTTAGTATTAGAAAAGTCTTTAGTTAATCTACAATAAATTCTCTACTCTTGAATAATCTGATTATTTGGTAATTTAAATTCTAGAATTTCTGAATATAAAGAAATATTTTGACAATATTGTTGAATATAAATAAATCGTAGATTAAAGTATTAAATTGCTTTAAATAAGAGTAATACAGAATATTGATAAATATGTTTTTTAAACTTGTTGAATGCTAATTGATATACTTCATAAAATATTGTAACATATGATTCTATCTTAAAATAATTATATTCAAATTTAGATTTTATTTCTTGACTAATAGAAGGTTTGATAATACCTAATTGTAATGAAGCTTCAAGATGCATTAAATGATATATTACAAATAATGTAACAGGTTTATTTCTAGTTTCAAAAAACTCAATTCCTTTATAAGGCTAAAATAAAATAAGATTAGATTAATTTTTTTTATAAGCAAAACAATAATCTTATTATATTGCATTAAATAATATAAATATAGTTAAAACTTCAAAGATAAAGTATTTGTATGATCATTAAAAATAGTTGTCAATTCTTGAATTGCTTAATTTTCATTATTAATCTGTTCTTTCTTGATATAAAATAAATGTAATTAGTTAATATTTTAATTAATCCAAAAAACAAATTTAAACTAACTATTCTACTGTGTTTTAATAGGTAATAGTAATAAAGTACAATTTTAATAATCACAAATTTAACATACAACTTTTTCTACTGATTATCTAAACTATTACAAGGCAAAAATTTTTTAAATACAAAATAACCTTTAACTCTAGGAAACCTAGCAAAATAGTAGCTATTAAATAGAAGTATGAGTTGTATAGCCTAGTAAACTTTATGTAAGAAGCAGAAAAACCTAGCAAGTAATAATACTATTATTTTAGCTAAAAGTTTATGTTATAGTATTTTAAAAAAAAGAAAAAGATAAAACAAAGAGAAGAAATAACAAACAGTGTCTTGTACTAGAACAAACTCTTCAATACTCTCTCACTTTGTAACTTGTTTCTGTAAACAATCTTTTATATCCTTTGACCAACAATACTAATACAATAACTATAGCTTTTTTTCATTTTTTTGATAAAAAAGTAGAGATTCTGGCTTATCTTTAACAAAGAATTTATACTTATATTATGTTCTATTTTGAGCAAGTCATGTCTTAATTGTTTACAAGTTAATTAATACACATGAAGCTAACACAGATCTGTTTAGTAAATAGAATGATAGCTAATAAAAAATTATACATGAGATATATAGTATATATATTAGTACTATAAATAATTTTTAATTTTTATACCTTAGTATAGGCTATAATAGTGTGTTCTATCTTAATTATCTTTTTTTCTGCTTTTTTTCCTACTTTCATTTTTTTTTTATATTTTCTTTTTTTTTATATAGACAGTAGTTATTCCTACTTTTTGTTGCTTTCCTTTTTTTTTTTTTTTTTCTTTGACAGTCACGTTATAAACTTTATTAAGTTATTAACTACAGCCTTAGCCAAGTTACATGATTATATAATCTACCTAATTTACTAAGTTTGACATCACCTAGCTGCTACTAGAGTACTTAAGTACAACCTATCACACTAACCAAAAGGCTAGAACAATTTGTCTAACTATATTAAAGAAAACTCCACCAACTTATTTCTCCTTTCTTAATTTCTTTTCCAACTACTCCTTCTACTAACACTACTACCCATTCTTTTTTCCTTCCTTTTTCTTTTTTCCTTTTTGCAAGTAATGCTTTTCTCCTTTCATCTGCTTGGGTTCTCACTTTTGGCTCCTTTTCTTCTACTCAGTTTCTTTTAAGCTTCATCATAATTTCTTTGCTTTTTTTCTAGAGAATTACCTTTTCATATCACCAGTTCCATATTACTTCTGCAAAGCTTCTTTAGATGATAAAAAAGATGCTATCTATTCAAGATCTCATAACATAATTTTCTTAAGCTAATGAATATATATCTTCAGCCATTTTCTTTTTTTCTAGTTTAATTATCAGCTCTTTCCTTCTTTGAAAAAGGCTTTTCTTGTCTTTTAGGAAGATAATCATTCTGATTTTTGATATTAAATCTGAGTCATTAATTTTTCTGAGTTGGATTTTGTTAATACCTTCTATTATTGCTTTCTCAATTTCCTCCTATGACTCTTGCAGAACTAAGCAGCTTATTAGATGATCGAGATCTTCTGGAATTTCTTCTTTGCATAGAATACAATGATCACTTTTGTATAGCAATAGCTTTCTTTTCTTAAGCTCGCTGAGTATTAGAAGACTATTTAATAAGCACTTAATTTGTATGATAAGACTTTTGCTATCTTTTATCGATAGGTAATTTATTCCTCTCTGCTTCTTAATTCTCTGCTATAGCCTTTTCCAGTTATACTTTGAGCTTTCAGCTATGCTATCCTTTCTTTGGTATGCCTACTCTGGATCATTGTATCTTTTTATTAGCTTGTTTATGAATTGCTTAACTGAGCTCTTGATTCTGTTTGTTTTTCATACTATATCATAGCTAAAATTTTTACTTTTGATTAGATCTAGATTTAGCAAAATACTTGACTTTCTGCCTTCTTTTGCAAGTTGATCTGCTTTATTATTTCATCTATTATTAGTATAGCTTTAGACTTTTTTGAGCTCTAATTTAATGCCTTTCTGCTTAATAAGTGATACAATTTTTTCTAGAATAATTCTATTATCTATTCTGATCCATCTGCTATATTGTTCAATCTTACAGGCTTTGGTTATACTCTCTATCGACTGTTCACTATCTGTGAGAACCCTAACTATTGAATTGTATTGTGCTAATAATAAAACTACTCAAACTTCTATTAGCTCTGCTTTGGTTGATGTTGGCTAATTAACAACTTTCAAGTTTTCTGAGCTAACTAAACTATTTTCTATCTGATCTACTACTACCTATTCTACTCCCATATTTCCCTTATCTTTCTCTTTACCTAAAGACCTATCTGTATAGAATTCTATTTCCTTGCTTTCTTCTAACATAATCTTTTGTATCTTTTCTTTTAACATACTTACTAATTCTATACTAAAATTCTTCTTTTCTATAATTTCGAGTTCTTGTTTCTCAACTACTCTTAAGCCTATGAGATGGTATTTTCTCTTTTCAGCTTCTTAGTAGTCTCTACTTGTAGCTATTGATTTAAGTGAAAAATCAATTATCTCTATTTCTCTGTTCACGCAGTTTTTTAAAATTACTCCTAAAATCTTTTGTTTTTGTTTTTTTTTTTTTTTTTAAATTCAGCAGTCATGCCACGACTTTATTTAGATTTGTTTTCCAATTGAAAACAGCATTA